TTTGGGAGCTCTTATCTAATCCACAAAAGATTTTAGGGTTACTCTTTGGGGGGGGTGTTCAAGTAGCAAAAAGCCCCATTTAAGGAGGAGAGGAGAGAGGGAGGGAAGGGAGGGGGGGAAGGAGGGAAGGAGGGAGGGAGGGAGGAAGAGGGGAGAGAGAGAGGGATTGGAGAGGGGCTCATAGGCCTACTCTCTGCTGAACTCTGGCTCCTGAGGGATTCTGGGAGTGGGGGGAATCAGTCTTCAGGTCAGACCCTCTAGTGATCCCACCAAGCTCCACTAAATAATTCCAAACCAAAATTCTTCACAATTCAGTGTTGTAGGTAACCTGTGTTTTCTTCACACTTCTAAAATTCTTCAAAATTAAATTCTTCACTAAGGAAAAAAAAAAACACGGGTCTGGGAGAGGTGGCTCAGCAGTTGAAAGCACCGGTAGCTCTGGCAGAGGACCCAGGTTCGGTTCCCAGCACCCACATGGCAGCTAACAACCAACAACCATTTGTAACTCCAGTTCCAGGGGATCTGATGCACTCTTCTGGCCTCCATGGGCATTGCATGACACAGGTGCACCTACATACATGTGGCCAGAATACTCATACACATTTTTAAAATATATTTTTAAGATTTGTTTTTCACTTGCATTTAAAAGTTGGAGTAAAAAAACTGACCACCTTTTAATGATTTCTAGGTGAAATAGGTTGATGGGCCAAGCCTGCACTGTCTGAATCCTCCTCCACCCATGTCTACAAGGACGTGGGCTTGGGTGGCAGGCTGCTCTGATGCCTCCCTGACTCTAAAATACCACAGCTCTGACCTTTCTGAATTCTTGAAGGCGAAGATGTGAGAAGAGGCAGGGCCAGAGTCAAACACAAAGTACACTCACAGGAACCAGTCCACAGCTATGATCAGCGTGATGTCCTCTGTGGGCAGGCCGACAGAAGTGAGCACAATCACCATGGTGACCAGTCCCGCCTGGGGGATACCGGCAGCCCCAACGCTGGCTGCTGTGGCCGTAATGCTGCAAGTGGGAAGAGAGCATGGGATTCAGGAGAAGGGGAGAGAAGGGGCGGGGAGGTCAGGGAAGGGGCATCTTAATTAAGTTCTCAAGCCGAGACACAACGAGAAATAGAAGTCATGGGCACAGTTTGAAAACGGTGATGCCAGGCAGAGGCTGAAAGGGAAATGTCTGTGGAGGGTTCGAGGTTTCTACCTACAAGATGAGTGAGTTCAGGAATCTAATGAACAGTATGGGGACGACATTCATGATATTGTTATATATTTGAAATTCACACCTTAATTGTTATCACCATCTAAAAAGGAAAAGAGAATGAGAAAAAAGGGAGATTGAAGAGGGGAGGGAGGAGAAGAGAGGAGGGGGGAAAGACGGGAGGGAGGAAGGAGGGAGGAAGGAAGGAAGGAGGGAGGAGGGAGGAAGGAAGGAAGGAAGGAAGGTGGAAGGAAGGAGGAAGGAAGGAAGCAGGGAGGAAGGAAGGAAGAAAGGAAGGAAGGAGGAAGGAAGGGGAGGAGAAGGGAGGGGAGAGGACAGGAGGAGAGGAAGAGAGGACTTAAGGATCAAGAGGGAAGGAAGGGAAAGGAAGAGAGGAGAAAGAGAAAGGAGATCAAAGGACTTGAGGATCAGGACGGCAGAAAGGATTCCCAGGCACCAGGAGGTTTTCCACCATTTTTCTGTTACTCTTCTACAGCCCCAGCATGCCTTCACCTGTGCCCTACAGAAAATGTAAATCCCCAGTTGAACTTCTAGAGATAAAAATCAGTCTGGGAAGTTAAAATATTGCTGTAATGACTAAATTGATGTCGTTCTCAAACTAAAAATACGTTATTGTATTTTAGAACGTAAATGTGTAATTCTATATGTCTACTATGATTATTTTTTCTAACAAAACTGCAATAACAAGCTTCAACAGTACTGTGAAATTTAACACTGTTGCTATAATGTGAATTTGGCATTCACTCCCTTTCCAAATTCTCCAAGCTATAAAAAGTTTCTCCAAGTAATGATTTTTTAAAGCAATGCTAATTTTTTTTTAAATACAAGAGAGGAAACGGAAAGGAAATGAAGGAAGGAGGGAGGAAGAAAAGGGGGTGGGGTGGGAGGAGGGGAGAGAAGGAAGAAAAGGGGAAAGGAGAGTAGGGAAATAGAGGGGAGGGGAAATATGGATGGGGAGGGAGGGAAAGGAAAGGGAAGGAGAGGGAGGAAGGAAGGAGGGAGGGAGGAGGGAGGAATGGAGGAGGGAGGAAGGAGGAAGGAAGGAAGGAAGGAAGGAAGGAGGAAGGAAGGAAGGAAGGAAGGAAGAAGAGGAAGGAACTACAAGAGGAAATATATATAATATTCAGCTCAACTGTGGTAATCATTTTGAAAAACATACATATAGCAAATAACGATGTAATATGCCTTAAATATATTATATTTTTGTCAGTTATTACTCAATAAAGCTACGATTGGAAAAGACAGGGGAGAATTGAGACAGTTTCCCTGCAGCCCCAGCTGGCCTGGAACCCACTATGTAGACCAGGCTAGCCTTGATCTCACAGAGCTCTGCCTGCTTCTGTCTCTCAAGGGCTGGATTAAAAGTGTGGACCACCATGCCTCACTAGAAATTACTTTTTAAGTAGACAAATACAGCTTACCACTTTGGAGTTGGGGGCATTCTGGCCCATCTTGGTTTTAGAGCCTACTTCTTGTTCAGAAAAAGAGCTGGGGGGTGTAGCTCAGTGACAGAGTGCTGAGCAAAGCCTGGGTTCCATTTCCTTCCCCATAAATTAATATGAAATTAAAATTAAGAGGTCAGCTGGATCATGGATGAGTTACATTACAACTCCAACATCAGCTTCAGTTGCCCAGTAAAATGTGCTAAGTGTTGTAAAGGCCACCAAGCTTACTAGAGGGATGGCAGTACCCTGTGGTGCCAACCCTCTTCATGATAGCCTTGGAAGCCCCTGTGCTGGTTAGTTGTGTCAACCTGACACAAACTAGCATCACCTGGGAAAAGGGAGCCTAAAGTACAGAATTTCCTCCATCAGACTGGCCTGTGGTATATGTCTGTAAGGCATTTTCTTGATTGCTAATTGATGCAAGAAGGCCCAGCCCACTGTGGGCAATGCCATCCCTGGGCAGGTGGACCTGGCTGTATACAAAGGTAGCTGAGCAAAGCAGGGCGGAACAAGTAAGCCGTGTTCTTCCCTGGTCTCTGCTTCATCTCCTGCCTCCAGGTTCCTGCCCTGCTGTCCTTGATAACGGACTACAACTTGGAAACAGAAATAAACGGTTTCCTCCCCAACTTGTGTTTTGGTCATGATGACTAGCGCAGCAACAGAACTCAAACTAAGACAGCCCCTTACCAGATTCTGTATTCATATGTGTGAAGCAGTGGAAGATGACTGGCCAGAAGATGGCTCTATCAGAACAGAGACTAAGCAAAGACGCGGAGCCCAGCAGACTCCATTTGTGAGGTGTAAACTCTAAACAGAAACTCAGAGTCCCTCTGGCCTCCCCTGCTGATGACAGATTACATCTGCTTTCTCACTGTGAGCAGGAAAGACCATAGGCCTGGCCTGTATGTAATCAATGCTTTAATCATATCGGTTAATTCTTTCAAATAGGAAGAACCCCAGAAATGTATACACATAGCACTGTCACAGTCCAGTAGCAAGAAATTCATTAAGGAGATAAGATACACACATAGCCCAATTTGGAGTCTAGGGCAAGGCAATTAAAATGCACTGATGTGGCTAGGCCTGGTACCTTGTAAACCTAGAATTAGGAAGGCTGAGATGAGCTGATTTTGAGTTTAGGGCCAGCCTCAGCTACACAGTGAGAATTTGTCTCAAGAAACTGGGGCCCAGGGCTGTAGTTCAGTGGGAATAAAATGTTCCGATGTGTAAAGAAAACTGAACTATTTAATATGTATTTAATTTTATGTATATGTGTGCATACATGTGTTCATGTGTGAGGATATGTGCATACCACAGCACACGGGTGGCAGTCAGAGGACAGCTTCCGGAGTTGCCCTCACCATCTGTCTTGTTGCTCTCTCCCGCTGTTGGTCACGGTGCTGCATACTCCAGGCTGGCTTGCCTTCGAGCTTCTGGGGGCCTCCTGTCCCTGTATCCCACCTCACTGTAGAAGTGCTGGGATTACAGACACATGCCATCACTTTGGGCTTCTACATGGGTTTCAGAGATCAGAACTCAGATCATCAGGCATGTGCAACAAGAGCTTTTAACTGTTCAGCCATCCTCTGGCTCCCCCCAAAACTAAACTTTTGTAATTTTTTAAAAAATTATTATTATTATTTGGGGGTTGGAGAGATGGCTCAGCAGTTAAGAACACTGGTTGTACTTGCAGAAGACCCGGGTTTGAATCCCAGCACCCACATGACATCGGGCTTGCATAGCAAACATCTCTATCTCGTAAGCCATCTCACGAGACCCAAAAGATACAGCCTCAGCTACAACTGGCTACAAACTTGTGATCCTCCTGCTTCTACCTCTACAGTGTGTCCTACCAGTGTGTACCACCAAAATCAGCCAAATTTTTGAGGCTAGTTTAAGAATAAATTTTTTACTCTCTTCACATTAAAACATTGTTAGCACTGGGCTGGGGAGATGCCTCAGTGGGTAAGCACTTATCACACAAGTGTAAGGACCTGAGTTTGGATCCCCAGAACCCACACTCACTCTGTAATCCCAGCACAGCAAGGTGGAAGGCAGAGACAGGAGAGGCCCCAGAGACAGGCCAGGCAGCCTGGACACACAGCAGGAAACAGCAGATCCTGTCTCACAATGGAAGGTTAGGACCAACACCCGAGGCTATCCTCTCACTGCCACATTCACGGTGTGGCACACACATGCTCACACTCACATGCCCATGAGAACACGCGCATACACACACACACACACACACACACACACACACACACACACACACCCCAGAAATGTATACACATAGCACTGTCACAGTCCAGTAGCAAGAAATTCATTAAGGAGATAAGATACACACATAGCCCAATTTGGAGTCTAGGGCAAGGCAATTAAAATGCACTGATGTGGCTAGGCCTGGTACCTTGTAAACCTAGAATTAGGAAGGCTGAGATGAGCTGATTTTGAGTTTAGGGCCAGCCTCAGCTACACAGTGAGAATTTGTCTCAAGAAACTGGGGCCCAGGGCTGTAGTTCAGTGGGAATAAAATGTTCCGATGTGTAAAGAAAACTGAACTATTTAATATGTATTTAATTTTATGTATATGTGTGCATACATGTGTTCATGTGTGAGGATATGTGCATACCACAGCACACGGGTGGCAGTCAGAGGACAGCTTCCGGAGTTGCCCTCACCATCTGTCTTGTTGCTCTCTCCCGCTGTTGGTCACGGTGCTGCATACTCCAGGCTGGCTTGCCTTCGAGCTTCTGGGGGCCTCCTGTCCCTGTATCCCACCTCACTGTAGAAGTGCTGGGATTACAGACACATGCCATCACTTTGGGCTTCTACATGGGTTTCAGAGATCAGAACTCAGATCATCAGGCATGTGCAACAAGAGCTTTTAACTGTTCAGCCATCCTCTGGCTCCCCCCAAAACTAAACTTTTGTAATTTTTTAAAAAATTATTATTATTATTTGGGGGTTGGAGAGATGGCTCAGCAGTTAAGAACACTGGTTGTACTTGCAGAAGACCCGGGTTTGAATCCCAGCACCCACATGACATCGGGCTTGCATAGCAAACATCTCTATCTCGTAAGCCATCTCACGAGACCCAAAAGATACAGCCTCAGCTACAACTGGCTACAAACTTGTGATCCTCCTGCTTCTACCTCTACAGTGTGTCCTACCAGTGTGTACCACCAAAATCAGCCAAATTTTTGAGGCTAGTTTAAGAATAAATTTTTTACTCTCTTCACATTAAAACATTGTTAGCACTGGGCTGGGGAGATGCCTCAGTGGGTAAGCACTTATCACACAAGTGTAAGGACCTGAGTTTGGATCCCCAGAACCCACACTCACTCTGTAATCCCAGCACAGCAAGGTGGAAGGCAGAGACAGGAGAGGCCCCAGAGACAGGCCAGGCAGCCTGGACACACAGCAGGAAACAGCAGATCCTGTCTCACAATGGAAGGTTAGGACCAACACCCGAGGCTATCCTCTCACTGCCACATTCACGGTGTGGCACACACATGCTCACACTCACATGCCCATGAGAACACGCGCATACACACACACACACACACACACACACACACACACACACACAATTACAACAAATTTTAAAATACCTTGCTCTAGGTCATTCAAAAACTTAGTGGCAGACTTCAGCATGGAATCCATTTTAATTTCATTCCCCAACTCCATATTGCTTAATTCTAAATTCAGTAAATGTAAACAAAATGATGAATGTATATAAAAACATTTAACCTATATTAGTAAGTTCCAGGGGCTGGAGAGATGGCTCAGTGATTAAGAGCCCTTACTGTTCTTTGAAGGCTCGGTTCCCAGCACCCACATGGTGACTTACAACCATCTGTAACTCCACTTCCAAGAATGTGATGCCCTCTTCTGGCCTCCATGGGCCCTGCACACACATGGCGCACTTACATACATTCAAGCAAAACACTCACACATAAGATAAAAATAATAAATAAAATCTTTTTTAAAAAAAAGAATAGTGCTGGGCATTGTGGCATATGCCTTTAATCCCAGCACTTGGGAGATGGAGGCAGGTAGATGTCTGTGAGATGAAAGCCAGCTTGGTCTACATAACAAGTTCCAGGCCAGCTGGGGCTACAGGGAGATCTTGTCTCAAAAAGACCAAAAATAAAAAATATAAATAAAAAGAATAAAATCTAGAGACCTTTATTAATAATGTTAATAAATAATTGAACATTAATATTTTCATTGTTAATGTATTAAAAGTATTTTGTCACTAAAATATTAATAATAGACAAAATGGGTTTTATGACAAGGGCAAAATGTGATCGTGTTAGTAAATCATGAATAGGCTTCTTTGATTCTATATATCTTTTCTCTGAAAACATTTTAAATTAATTTGACTTTCCCTTATAAAGAAGTTGCATGTGAAAATGGTTTACAATAAAATAAACCTATTTTAGAAATTTAGGTGATCCTACATTTCATATGAGTACTGCCCACTAGAATTATTAGTCCTGATGTAATAATATGCTACATGGCATTGATGCTGTTTGGCAATAAATTACTTCACAAAAATTTTTTTCAATAATAAAATTTCATTATCCCTAGTGTTTCCTATTTGGATTTGCTTTCTTTTGAAGAGAAAAAGGATGATGTAAATACAGTAATGGAGTCTCAGGCAAGGTCACTATTCCCATCATCTCATGTGAGGGGGCCTTTCTCCTCCCTACACAGGTACAATCTGCCTAAAAGTGATCCCTGGGGGGAGGGGCAGATGCCCCATGTGGACAGGATAAGCCATGTCAGCCAAGAAGCCACCAGAACGCCTCAGGCTGTTTAGATTAGGTACAAACTAGGAGTCACCAAGCAGCCGGTCCCAACCTGTTACTTATGCTTGGAGCATTGCTTGCTAAGTCTGAAGCTGGCCATTGTCACCAAGGTCTGTATATTGATCACTAGAAATGGTGGAAGGGATGCTCAGTACCATGGGTCACTGAAGAGCACTGGCTGAAATATCCCCCATCTGTACCCTTTTTGATAACTTCCCCACTCCCACGATGTCAAACTTTATGGGAGATGCTCATTACAATGTTCAGGACTGTCATCTTGGCACAACCTGGAATCATCTGATAAAAAAGCCTTAGTTGACAAATTGTCTAGATGGGGTTGTCTGTGGGCATGGCTATGGGGATTTTCGTAATTGTTAGTTGATGTAGGAGGGTCTACTGTTCCTTGGGCTGAGCTCTGAACTATACGAGAGTGAAGAAACGTGGCAAGGAAGCCAGGGTCCTGTGCGTATTCTGTCTGCTCCTGATGGGATGTGAAGCTTCGCAGTTTCCTGCCTTCACTTCCTGTGGTGAGAGATGATGACCTGGAATTCTGAGGCAAATAAAACCCTTTCCTCCCCTATGGTGCCTTCTTGTCAGGGCATTTTATCACAGCAACAGAAATTAAACTAGGACAGACCCTAACCAAGTATTTTTAATATTCCTTTGAAATTAGGTTTATGTCATCTGTGGTTCCCCCTAGAAGAGGATGGTTATCCTATCCAGCACTTGTCAGGACTGGTTAAACAACATTCAATAAATCTCTCCTTGCTATCCATGTTTATCTACCACCTACTATGTGTTAGACACCTGCCAATGCTCTTCAGCTTATGTTGGGATCTTATCCCTTAAATCCATTTTAAGTTGAAAATATTGTAAATCAAAAATTAATCAAACACATCTAGACTACCAAATGTCATAGTGTCAGTACACTACCAGAAGGCTACTGGCTACCCAACATGATGGCACACACTTGTAATTCCAGCACCTGGGAGGCTGAGGCAGGAGGATAATACATTCGAAATCAGCCTGGGCTACACAGAGAGATCCAGTCTTCAAGGAAACAGAATAAAATAAATAAAAAAGTAAATAAGCTATCAGCTGTTTTCCCTAATGATTTTGTGGCTGCCTGGGAGATGAAGCTCCCTGGTGCCATCCAGCATCAAGAGAGAGGATTGGCTGACCAAAATTCAGTTCCCAGTACCCACAAGGCAACTGATAACCATCCATAACTCCAATCCCAGGGGATCTGATGCTCTCTTCTGGCCTCTGTGAGCATTGCATGCATAGGTGCATTTACATACATGCAGGTAAGTCATTCACACACATAAAATAAAAATAAATACCCCCTAAAAATTTAAATAAATTGGCATGGTGGTGCCCACCTTTAATCCCAGCACTTGGGAGGCACAGACAAGCAGATCTCTGTGAGATCAAGGCCAGCCTGGTCTACATAGTAAGTTCCAGGGCAGTTGGGGCTGAAAGGAGATCCTGTCTCAAAAAGCCAAAAACAAAAACAAAAACAAACCAACAATGAAAGAGCATGGTATCTATCTCAGATAGCATTAACTAATCAACCTGACACAGCCTAGAATCATCTTTAAAAAAAAAAAGTTTTGATTGAGTCTTTATCAGGTTGGTCTATGGACATGTCTTTGAGGGATTCTCTTGATTGTCTGAACTGATGTAGGAGGGATCAACCCACTGTGGGCTGTGCAGTTTCCTGAGCAGGTGGTCTTGGGCTATATAAGAAACCTGGCTAAGCATAAGCCTAGAGCAAGCCAGCACATGACAGTCCTCCATGGTTCCCGCCTCAGGTTCCTGCCTTGAGTTTTTGCCCTGAATTCCCTCAGTGATTTATTTTGACCTGGAAGTGTGAGACAAAAAAAACCCTTTCTTCCCCAAGTTGCTTTTGGTCAGGGTATTTTAGCAGAACAGCAGAAATGAAACTAGGACAATTTGTTTTGGCTCACAGCTCCAGGTTGCATCCATTACTGTGGAGCAGTCAGGCAGGGAGTTGAAACAGCAGGTCACATCCACAGTCAAGAGCAGAGACAGAGGGTGCATGTGTCCCATGCTCAGGCCTCTTTCTCTAAAACAATTCAGGACCCAAACCCAGGGACCAGTGCTGCCTACTTTTTCCCACATTAGTTAACATATTGAAAACAGTCTCCAACAGACATGCCCACAGGTCAACCTGATCTACACAAGCCCTCCTGTAAGACTGTTCCCAGGTGATTCTAGATTGTGTCAAGCTGAAAATTAAAATGAACCATCACAGTATGGAAGAACATTCAAATTAAGAACTGAGTATAGAGGCCTGTGAGAGGGCAGGTTCAGTGGGTAAACATGCTTGCCACCAAGCCTGATAACCTGAGTCCAATTCCAGGATACACATGGTAGGAGAGAACTGACTCCTACAACTTTTCTTCTGACCTCCACACATGTGCTATGGCACACACACCCACACACATATACATATTCACATATATATACACAAAGAAAATTAAATGTAACAATGTTTGTAAACTGAAGGACTAGAGATGTCTCAACAGCTAAGAGTGCTTACTGCTCTTGCAGAGGACCCAAGTTGGGTTCCCAGCACTCACAACAGGGGGCTCACAACCACCAGCTCCAGGTCCCTGGGAGCTGACACTGTCTTCTTGCCTCTAAGGGCATCTTCATACACAGACTCATACAGACACACATAAATACACATAAAATAGAAATAGAAATATAATTTGGAGGATGATATGGGGGATCTAAAAGGAATTGGAGGGGGAAGTGGAGGGTGAATATGATCAAAATACATTGTATAATGTATGAAATTCTCAAAGAATAAATTTAAAATATTTTAACCTTAAAAAAAGATTTAGGGATGCTCAACCTGTAATGACTAAATTGGAACTTTGCTGTAATAGAGTCCAGGAATCTCTAATAAGAACCCTGGGTTAGCTAGGCATCGTGGTCCACACCTTTTAATCCCAGCACTCGGGGAGGCACAGGCAGGCAGATTTCTGTGGTATCAAGGCCAGTCTGGTCTACATAGCAAGTTCTAGGCCAACTGGGGCTATAGAGAAACCCTTTCTCAAACAAACAGAAAGAACCATGGGTTAACAGGATGCACCAGCCACACTTTTGGAAAACTGCTGTAACACAGTAGCTCATGAGAAGGAAGTGGGTCCTTCCGGGTCCTTCCAGCCTTGGGTGCCGAGCTCTCACCTTTAGCCTCTTCCCACTACCCCTTCCATGATCTGGGGCCTCCCTTGGCCTCCAGCTGTGGCTCCCTCCTCCCCAGCTGAGAGACCTCATCCTTCTCACCTGATTGTGGTGATCTGGCCCAGGTTGAGTTCATAGTTGTTGACTTGAGCAATAAAGATGGCAGCCAAGGCCTCATAGAGTGCTGTGCCATCCATGTTGACGGTGGCCCCCACGGGCAGCACAAACCTGGTGATGCGGCGGTCCACACCCAGGCCCTCCTCCAGGCAGCGGAAGGTGATAGGCAGAGTTGCAGAACTGGGGGAAGAGAGCTCTGAAGGCTGAGAATAGGGAACAGCAGGATGGGACAAGGCAGCAATGGGCCAAAGGGGGGTTCCCCTCTAGGACATGGAGGCCAGGTGGAAATTCAAGCAAAAATCAGAGCACTGACGTGATAGATGTGCATGGGGAAGTCAGACTCCTAACACAATGAGAACTGAGCCATGGGACTCTCCCAAGCTGAAGGTCTCCTGACTCATTCAAGTCAGTAGTTTATGCCCCTACTCCAATCCTAGACTGCTGACCTTCCACAGCATAGGGTAAATGTGACTGTTAATTTGGTCAGTTTGACAAAACCTAGAATTACCAAGAGTCTCAATGAGAGTTTGGGTTGGCCTGCCAGCATGCCTGTAGGAGACTGTCTTAATTAAGATAATTGATGTGGGAAGACCCAGCCCACTGCAGGTAGCAACATTCCTTAAGGCAGGAGGCACTGAACTGTATGAGTGGAGAAATCCAGCTGAGTCCAGGGAGCAAACATCAGGCGTGCAGTGCATTTACACGTGCATCAAAGAGTCTTTGCTCTTGGATGTGATCTAATTAGCTGCCTGGAGTTCCTGCTTTGATTTTACCACAATGAAGGACTGGAATCTGGAATTGTAAAACAGATAAGCCCTTTCTAAACCCTTAAGATGTTTTTGTGAGGGTATTTTTATCACAGCGACAGAAATTAAAACAGGACAATAAAGAGCAGAATGTACATTTGTATTGGGAACAACCTCACTTACGGGAAGCTCGTCTCTCCCCCACCAATTCCCAGAGGAACAGTGACTTCATTGATTGGTGATTCTAATGGAAAGAGTGGGTCTGCTTTTCTGCAAGAAATGGATCCTGTCTGTCAGCTTTACATAAAAAGCTTGGATTCACAGTCTTCAGCCCTGGAGCCAGACAGTGCCTATCACTCAGCCCCCATCCCCACCCAAAAGAGTTCCCAGACACCATGTCAAGAAAAGATGAGACTCTGTGAACTCAAAATGACCCAGTTTAGTTCATGGAACTCTCTGCAACCTTCACCTCAAAGTCAGAATTGGCATCTGGCTCTCCCCCTCATAAGATGGAGAAACAAGAAAGGAGACAAAGGGGTCAGGAGAGCCAGCAGAGGACAAAGACTATTCCCCAGGCCCTGGTCCCTGAAGAGAGCTTCAAGAACCCCCAGTGTTACTGTACAACCAGAGGAGGTGTTTGGGCAGGGGGAGAGCAGGATCACTGAAGGAGCTCATGAAAGATGAAGACTGGACCTAAGGAGAGTTCAGGATAAGATCATACCTGGAAGAGGTGCCCATGGCTGTGATGAGGGCCTGCAGCACACCCCCGATGAAGGGGAAGGGGTTCCGATGGGTCACGAGGAAGTAGATGAGGGGCAAGACGCCACCAGCATGGAGGAACAAGCCCACTATGACAGTCAGGGTGTACATGCCCAGCTGACCTCCAAGGACGGCCATGTCTTCCATTTCCAGAATCTTCCCAGCAATCAGGAACAAGATGCCCACTGGTGCATACCTGAGTAAGCCACACACCTGTCAAGGAATTCTTCTTAACCTTCCTTACATGTCTGGAGCTGACATCATCAAAGCTTTGCCCATATAGCACTCTGGAGTCAGATAAGAATCTACAACACAGCCCCCAACTCCACCCTAACCTTTCCTAAACATCAAGAACAGCATGGGGGATTGGGGGTCCGAGATGGCTCAGCAGTTAAGAACACTTGCTGCTCAATCATAAGGACCACAGTTGGGATCCCAGCACCCATATTGGACAGTTTACAAATGCCTCTAACTTCAGCTCCAAGGGATCTGACATCTTCTGGCCTCCCCAGGCATGCACGCGCACACACACACACACACACACACACACACACACACACACACAGAAAGAGAGAGAGAGGGAGAGGGAGAGGGAGG